AAGCCGCTGTTCTAAGGGGAAGGGCAGCAGGCCCAGGTGCGGGGCAGGCAGTCCAGGACACGATGGGGAGGCTCCTGGACACCGCTGAGCACCTCCACACTCCCACCCCTCTATTGATGGGAGCCCAGGTCTGGCCTCAGGGCTTTGTGGGAACACAGTGCTTCTTGGAGGAGTTCAAGTCTTGGATGGGAGGGCAGTGGGGCAGACGTGAGGTCAGGGCCCTGCAGAATACCCCTCTTCCCAGCCCCTGCCCCAGACGGGTACTCACCTTCATCCCGTCGGGCCCCATGGGGCCACTGTCACCCTCGAGGCCTGGCTCTCCCTGGAAAGAGCAGTGGGAGAGACAGGAGCCATTACTGTGAAGAGGCCCCCTGTGCGTTGCCTTCCTCTCCCTGCCCGGGACAGGCCCCAGACCCAGATCTCCAGGTGGAGGGAACCTGGAGGCCCTGCCACACAGCAGGCATGCAGCAGCCAGAGACGTGAATGAATGAGCAGGAGATTAAGGCCCCACCCTCGGCTCTCCAGAAAGGGACCACAGACTGCTCTGTGTAAGGCAGGGGCACTTAGAGTTACAATGAGTTTGGAGGCTTTGGGTCAATTTAGGAAAAAAAAAAAAAATCTCTTGATTACAGGCCTTTTCAGAGCCTTGAAAATGCCATTGTTAATGTATAAGAAGAAACGCCAAGGATACACTGGGTCACAGACATTTTGACTACAGGATGTTCTTTTCCACGTCTGGGAAGCTACCAAGAAGGACTGGGTGAGGCCGTAAGTATGTGGTCTAGATCTGCAGTGGAGCAAACTGAGGCTCAGGAAGGTTACATAAAGCCTTTCTCTGCTCCCTTGCACGCACACACCCTCTAGGCTTTCCAAGAAAAAGAAATTTCCTTCAACTTACCCGCTGCCCAATGAGGCCCTGCTCCCCAGGGGTGCCCAGGGGTCCAAGGTCACCCTAGGAAAAGCCAAATACAAGTCCATGGAGGGTGGGTCGGGCAGCCCCAGCCCTCACCACCTTTCCTACTTCCACCAGCTCTGACCTGGGGTGGGGCAGGGGAGAGCTGGGAAGGTCTTTCTTCCCAAGGACCAAAGAGAAATCGTAAAGCTCCAATCAGAGTGCCTATTTCCAGGAAGCCTGCCCACTGGCTTCTCCTGCGCTGGGGCAGAAGGACCACCACCACCAACCCCAACCCCACCAGCCCCACCATCATCACCATCAGAGCTAATGTTCACATAGCACTTTTCTTTTTTTTTTGGAGAGATTTTCGCTACAGGGCGCGTGCGCTCGCCAGACAGACAGAGACATAGAGACAGAAAGCGAGAAATCACCCCCCAGGGGGGATGGTCACGCCGCAATCCCTTCTCCTCCATTCTCCTCTCGGGATCTTGGGCACGCACGCACACGCGCCCGGCGTGAGTTTTAAGCCACCGGATCCGGGACGCGAACCGCGGTCGACTACGTGGGAGTCCAGCGACATAGCCATTACGCTAACTGCTGGTTCCCCACATAGCACTTTTCTAAGCACCAGTCTTTTTCATTGCCAGAGGGTATGTGTGCTCATTAGAGAGAGACAGAGAGATGAAGGAGAGGGAGAAGGCACCCCTCCGTTAGGTGTGGTCATGCTGCAATCCCTTCTCCTCCATTTCTCCACCCTGTTGGGATTTGGGGCATGTACACACATGCACCAGCAGTTTTGTTTTTTTGTTTGTTTTTTTTTCTTTCGAGTTACCGTGGCCAGGATTCCTCCATACTGTCAACCATGTGGGACCTGGCTCCCTTACCCACTGGACTACGGGGCTGGCCACAAAGTACTTTTTTATATGAACGTGTTTGGCTTTGCACAATAACCCTGCGAGAAATCACCCCCCAGGGGGGCTGGTCACGCCGCAATCCCTTCTCCTCCATTCTCCTCTCGGGATCTTGGGCACGCACGCACACGCGCCCGGCGTGAGTTTTAAGCCACCGGATCCGGGACGCGAACCGCGGTCGACTACGTGGGAGTCCAGCGACATAGCCATTACGCTAACTGCTGGTTCCCCACATAGCACTTTTCTAAGCACCAGTCTTTTTCATTGCCAGAGGGTATGTGTGCTCATTAGAGAGAGACAGAGAGATGAAGGAGAGGGAGAAGGCACCCCTCCGTTAGGTGTGGTCATGCTGCAATCCCTTCTCCTCCATTTCTCCACCCTGTTGGGATTTGGGGCATGTACACACATGCACCAGCAGTTTTGTTTTTTTGTTTGTTTTTTTTTCTTTCGAGTTACCGTGGCCAGGATTCCTCCATACTGTCAACCATGTGGGACCTGGCTCCCTTACCCACTGGACTACGGGGCTGGCCACAAAGTACTTTTTTATATGAACGTGTTTGGCTTTGCACAATAACCCTGCAAACAGTCTTTCAGAGATGGGGAGACAGAGGCACTGGTGGGGTTCAGTAGTTAGCCCATGCTTTAATAGGCTAATAAGAGACAGACTCAGGACCCAAATGTGGGTCATTACACCAGGTGCAGGAGGGCAACTCTACTCTTCTCAGTCTTGCAGAGAAACCCAAGCAAAGAAGACGCCCTAACAGAGCCAAATAAGTGTTGCCCTGCTCCTAAAGCACCCCCAAAGGACCCTTCTCATCCGTGGTTTCTAAGCTATGTTCCCGACTGGTGTCTGGGGATACAAGGAGGCAGAGCTGAGACCCCACCCTGCCCCAGCGGGGACAATCCCACTTCTGTGTGTTTTATACATGAGGTGATTTTCTTTGCTCTTGTTGGAGCAAAGGATTCTGGAGCCAAGCCAAGTCTGACAGTTCCAGGCCTGGTCTGACGCTCTTTCTGAATGGCAGGGAGACTCAGGCCCAAGAGGGGCCGATCGGCCTCAGGTTCCGCAGCCCCGTGGGCACAGCCTCAACAATGACCTCCAGCTGGGCAGCATTGCTCCTCGGCTCCCAGGCCTGCACGGGGAGCGAGGTCCTCCTCCACGGAGGAACGGGAGGGGCGTCTCCTCAGAGCCCAGATATCAATGGGCGCCTGTTTCTGGCCAGGTAATGAGGGCGCCAATGCCGAAATGCAGATGGTATCGCACGGGCCGGGAGGTGCGGCCCAGCGTGGAGGCAGGGGCAGGTGCCAGAGAAAACACTGCCAGGCAGGGGACAGGGTGGGCACTCCAGGCTGACTGGACACCAGCATGGCCATGGCCAGGCCCCACTCCACAACCAGGAGCACAGAGAACCCATTATCCTGGGGATAAGAAAGGCCCGTTTCTCTTCTGTGGGGAGGATGTGGCCGCCAGCTGGGAGCTGATTTCAACAAGTCATTTTTCTCGTCTTTCATCCCAGCTCACCTTCAAACCGGCTTCCCCAGGAAGGCCCAGTTCTCCCACTGCACCTGGCGGCCCCTGCAAGAAAATGCTATTGGTTCCTTCTAGAGAAAGGACTGGACCCTGGTTATGAACAAGGGGATAACTGAGGCCCAGAGAGGGGAGGGGGTGTGCCCAAGGTCACATAGCATGGGAGATACAGAGGTGAAAGCAGGCTGCAGCTTCCCAGAGCCTGGAGCTGGTACTACGGGAAGGATAGTGATTGGGCCAGGCTGGCTGAGCCTCGGGACTACCCAGAGGCAGCTCGAGCCTTCTCCCTCCCCACGAGCGTGGTTTACCACATTAGGAGCCCCTTGGCAAGTGCAGGGAGGAAAATGTCATGATTCACATAATGGCAGGGAAGGAAGCCAACTGACGCTATGCTCAGGGCTGAGCAATCCTGGCCCTTCTCTCTGCAGCCTAGCCAGGGTGATGAGGGCAGGGGGGTCCCCAGTGATCCCCGTTGGCATGCTTGCAGCCCTCGCATAAGCCCAGGGCTCGGTTTTCTCCTCTGGATAAGGCAGGAGTGTCTGGGCCCCTCCAAGCTCCGTGCTGCCTGACCCTCGAGGGGCTGTGTCTATGATCAACATTGCTGGGTGACGTCTCAGCAGTTCAGAGTGGGAGCATCACTGCTTTCAGAGGTGCCACAAAAGCCACCGCCAAGCCCCATGAGGGCCCTGGCACTCCTGCATCCCACCCGCCAGCCCTGGACAAGGAGCCCAGTTCCCTACGCTGTCACCAAGATGGACTTGCCCTCTCTGCCAGGGAATCTACCCTCCCTCTCTCCGGTACATGGGACGTAACCCTCTGCTGGACCAGGACGGGGCATGGCAGAGACCCCTGAGGGGGAGTGCTAGGAGGGCCGAGACCAGCCAGTAGCATCAGCACTCACCTTGGGTCCCATCTCTCCCAGAGGGCCAACTGGCCCCTGCGCTCCCTGAGGGCCCTGGAAGACAGACACAGACGACTGAGTCCTCTCTGGGGGCCAAGGCTTGATCATACAGACTGGAGGGGTGGTTGAGAGTAAGGACCCTGCAGCCTACCCCTGTTCCCTAAGCCTACCGAGGGTCCCAGGGTCTGCAGCTACCCCCTCACCGCTAGCCTCCACCGCATCCCCTCCCATCCAGTTCCTGAAGCCCAGCAGGCCTCCCTGCTCAGACCCCTGTTGGCCCCTGAGCCTCGCTTCCTCGGTTCTCTCCCTGGAACACCCTCCCCGACCCACACCTAGTCTTGGCCAGTCACCGGCCAGTAGGGCCATTCCATGGCCTCAAGTTGTGGGGAAGCAGCTGTGGCCCAAGGGGGTGGAGCTTCCTGTCTCCCCCTGCCCCGTCTGGGGAGTCGTCCTCCTAAACCTGTCCTCTCTGGCAGCACCCTCTCCACAGCTTCCTCACGGGGCCCCACTCCTGGACTGTCCGCCCAGCTCACCCCTCCAGGGGCATCTTCTGAAGGGTGAGCCGAGCAGGTCACCTCCCGTTTCAAGCCTTCAGTGGTGCCTGTTGCCCATGCAGAGCGTGCTCTCCATGGCCACAGGCAGCGGCCTCTGCTGCCTCCATGGCGCTCCTGGGCTCCTGTCCTGCCCTTCCAGCCAGCCTCCACTCTGCAGCTTCCTGGTGGCTCTGAGTTTATTCTCTCCCTCCCTCCCTCAGCGCCCTGGCCTTGTCCCCGTCCCTTGCGCTGTACTGAGCAACGGCAGGTATGTTCTCATTTCACCTCCACAACAGGACAGCCCAGTCGGGACAACTGCCCTGTTTCACCGGCAAGAAAACAAGCTGGAAAGCGAATGAGCCGAGGTTCAAACCCAGAGCTCCCGGCCAGTGGCCCCTCAGGTACTGCCCCTTTCCAAAGCCCCTCCTTGTCTGGTTACCCAGCCACACACCCAGGCGGCCCATCTGAGACCAGCCTGCCAGGGGCAAAGATGCAACAGGGAGAGGACAGGCCCTTACCGGTTCTCCTGGGAGGCCCTTGGTGCCAGGGGGCCCCGAGGGACCAGGGATGCCCTGCAGAGACAAGCAAGGGTGATTTTAGTCCCTTCACGGCCTTCTGTAGCTTGCTTGTCCCCTTGGCAGGCCATGACAGTGTGCAGGGTCCTATCCAGACCCTCTGCCATGTGGCAGACGGGCAGGCTGAGACCCAGAGTGGGGGAGACATGCTGTGGGGGCTTCAGTGCTGGTGCGGGCAGCTAAAACCCTTGGGTTCCACAGGACAGGAACCTGGTTATAGTGGTCATCGTCCTCCCCCAAATGAAAGGAATAGCCACAGCTACTCACAGGAAAGCCTCGCGGGCCTGAGTGGCCGCGCTCTCCAGCCGCACCCTGGAAGACATTTGAGGGTCATTGGAGGCACCTGTCACAAAGCAGGAGTGGGGCGGGGCCAGCTTGGCCTGGGCCGGACATACCTGCTGTCCAGGCTGGCCCGGTCTGCCCTGCGGTCCTGGAGGGCCCTGTGGGAGGTAGAGCACACGACAGTGGGAGAGGGTCCTTGGGAGGACCCTTCACCGAGAAGAAACCCTCCAGCCCACGGAAGGTGAGAAGCACCTGCGAGACCCTTCACGCTGCCGTGGGGTGGGAAAACTAAGGCCCAGCAAGCGGAGTGGCTCACGCGGTCACCAGGTGCTCTGGCCTCTTCCTACTCAGGGTGCCAGAGGGCATCTCAGCTCTCAGAGGTTCTGGGGGTAAAGTTGGGGGTCCCAGGCAAGGAGTGGGAGGGCATGTGTGGTGCCTCTTCCCACCCTTCCCCTCCTGCTTTCTCTTGCTCTGGGCTTGCAGGGTGTAGGGGTGGATGGGGTGAGCTCTCAGCTCTCAGGAAGGTGCCCTACAGTCCTTCTCAGACTCCCTGTCCCTAAGGGGGCCTGGTGCAGAGGAAGGTATGAGCCCTGGTTTCTGGATCCTCACTCAGTGAGGGAGGGGAGGGAGGCAGGCTGTGGGAGTTGGTACCTTCTGGCCCTTGGACCCCTGCTCCCCAGCTGGTCCGTCTGGTCCTCGGGGGCCCTGGAAGAGAAGGAAGAGACTAGTGCAGTGGACAGCAGGGGTCTCCCTTGGGCTGAGAACAGACAGTGGGGCTGCCCAGAGCCGGGGCCCCTTCTCCCACCTCCCATACACTCCCACCTGCAGTAGGTCACCCTTGTGCCGTGTGCCTGCCCAGAAGACTCTGCAGAAGGCATGGCACCAGGGGCTCAGCCAGAGGTTCTAGCATGGACAGGGCTGGAACATGAACAATCCTGTTTAAACAGACCTTGGGGGTTACCCAGCCAACCCATTTTACAGACGTGCAGAGTGAGGGCCAGGGCCCCACGGTCAGGCCAGGAGAGTGGCACTGCTTCCCAGAGCACATGTGGGGCAGAAACAGGTGTGCAGCCCGCAGCCTGGTTTCCTGGGGAGAAACTCACAGGAAGGACCTGGAGAGGGCAGGCATGTGGCCAGATGTGCGGGGCACCCTCTCCAGGTAGATGTACAAGCAGCCTAGACCAGCACCAGGAAGCAGGGGCTCTGGTCGGACCCCTGAGACTGGAGTCTTGGTCTCTGATGGCTGGGAGGCCCTGGCGGGGTGGGGGTGGGGCAGATGGAGTCCACCCCACTACACAGATGGGCACGCCAACACCAGCCAGCAGGAGAGACTTGGCCCAGGTTCCGTAGCACACCAGCAAGTGGTGTCCCCTCCAGGGTCTCACCCAGGCCCCTGAGACACAGAGGGTCCAGGGTCTCCTGCAAAAGACCCATGGAGAACAACATGATGTTTGTTCTCTCATGGGGACAAAGTGTGTACTGTGAAAGAGGCTGGCCCACCCAAGCAATGTCCCCCAGATGAAAGGAGGTAGAGCAGCGTCCCCCAGACCAAAGGGGATGGGGGCAGAATGAGGAATAAGAAAAACAAATGAGGAAAATAATCCCTTAGAAGCTGAATGAGGAGAGCCGGCCAGCGGCATGAAGGTTAAGATGGCTGGATCCTACATGGCCGATGTGGTTCGAGTGCTGGTTCGGACCCAGCGGCTTGAAATGACACCAGGCACATGTGTATGCATGCCCCAAATTCTGAGAGGGGAATGGAGGAGAGGGATTGCAGTGTGGCCATCCCCCAGGGGGTGATTTCTCACTTTCTCTCTCTGTGCCCAACAAGCACGCACACCCCATAGCAAAAACTATAAACATTTTTTTTAATTGAAAAAAAAAAAATAAATGAGGAAAAAATTTCAATTAACCACAGAACCAGAAGGAGTGAAAATTCCACTTATCAGCTACCTGGTGTTTCCAGTGGGGAACTGTCTACGCTGCAGCCTTAAATAGCACCTCAGTCTCGGATCGTGTGGACGCTGTCCCATCACGTGGTAGACAAATGGCCCTGACTCTGGACACAGGCCTGGTGAAGCTATAGCCAGACCGGGCTGGGCACCCCAGGTCATGGGAGCTGGAAGGGAGGCTGAGCCCATGAGGGCAACTGGGCCCCCCTGATAGGCGCTCCGGCCCCTGAACTCCGTCTTCAGCTGAGACATAACTTTCCTAGACAGAGAGCTCTGGGAGGGGAGGCTCAGAGGCTTTGAGAGCTTGGCCCAATCACATGGCACCATTTGCCCCAGGAATCGAAGCCCTTCTGGGAGAAAGAATACGTGACCTCACAACAGCAGCAGAGCAGTGACAGTGAGAGTCACATGCTTGCTTAACAGACAAGGACATGGGCCCAGGGCAGAGGTGATCTTGCCTCTGGTCACACAGCGAGTACGGGAGGGGCCGGAATTTGAACCCAAGTCACCTGGAAGGGCGTTTTCTTTCGCCACTATCCCTGTTTATCAAAAAGGGAGTGAGCTGCTTGTCGGGGGTGTGCAGGTCAGGGCCTGGAGGGTGCTTCCAGGAGACTGCACACCTGGATGTTGGAGAAGAGCATGTCTAAAAGCCCTCTCTTCTGAGAGAACCCGCTACCCAGGGGAGCCCCAGAGAGGTCGGGGAGAAGCTGGGGGAGAGGGAACCAACCCTGTGTGGAGGAAGGAGGAGGCAGTGAGGTCTCCACTCCACCGTGCAGGGAGAGGAATGAGGGCAGTCACACACCCCAGCCTTTCTCTGGGCCACTCTGCAGCTGGTCTGTGGGTCCCCAGTCCTGCCCCCTCGCTAGAGAAAGCCTGGTTTCTGGGAGAGCCACATGGCCGCTCTCTTTTCTCTGCTCCCCAAGGAAGACGTTTACAGTCATGGCTAAGGCTGTCCTCTAGCCGGGCCTGGTGACAGAAAATCCGGCCAACTGGAGCTCGTGTGAAAAGGGATGAATCAGAAGGGCTAGCACTGCCGCCCCATGGGGCGCTTACGTCATCACGCTCGTTACGTGATGAGCACCCGCGGCCACCCGGCCCCGCCGTCCCACGGGTCGGTTCTGCTGCTGACCCGTTTTATGAGGAAGAGCCAGGGGTTCCGAGAGGGGAAGTCAGTAGCTGAGGTCCATGTGGAAGAGCTGGGGTTCTGGCTAGGTCTACTGAGCTCTGCCCCCACCCCTGGGAGCGGAGTCTGGCAGAGGCTTCTGAATCTCAGAACCATCGCAGCACCCTCGGAAGGCACCGAGCGTGTGAGAAAGTCTCGGTGAGGTGAAGATACTGGCCTGAGGTCCCCCAGCTGGTAAGTGGGGAGGCTGAGGCTTGCCTCTATGCCTGTCTAACCCCAGAGCTCCCCAGACCTTTGCCAGCAGCCCCACCAAGCACGGGGGACAGGGGCCTTCATGGCTCCAGGCCTCAACCTTCAGTGCTCATTCTGCCAGGACAGTGGTGGCCTGGGCAGCAGGGCCCATCCTGATGGGCAGGAAAGCAGGCAGGGCCTGGAGGGCCTCCAAACCCATTCTGCCCAGCACACTGGGGAAACTGAGGCCCAGAGACAGCAAGGCCTTCTAAGGGCACTGGACAAAGCAGAAGCAAAGCAAGACGTGCCCAGATTTGAGCTCTTTCACACCATCAAGAAACAGGCCCCCTCGTTACCCCATATAGGCAGCGGCCTGGTAGACAGAGGACCCAGGGGCCAGTCCCACAGGTTTTGCATTTCCTGCCAGTCCAGCAGGCAGAAGGGCTCTTTCCTAGTGCTCCCCTCCTGGCCCAGGGGACTTTGATGTGGTCAAGAGAGCAGGGTGGGGGAGAGGGGGGACCCAAAGCCGGAGATGCATTCTTCAAACCACTTCTGGGAAGGCGGCAAAGCCCAGTGAGTTGAGGGGGGGCCTGAGCTTCATGTCTGGGACAGGGTAAGGGGCCTGGACCAAGGCAGCTCACCACTCAGCTACTAGGGTCTGGCCTTCTGGGCCAGGAGGGAGTGGGTGTGGGATCAGGGGGGATCCCTGCTGCCCTTGGGGCCTTGGCACACTTGAAGACACCCAGAGAACATGGGCATGGGGAGACCCCAGCCACCAGAAGAGTGCCTTAATCTCCCCTCTCCCAGGCCGGCTGTTCAGGCCATCTGGTTCGGGGGAAATTGTAAAACCTCTTGAAGTCCAGCCAAGTGGAGAGTAAGAATCCCAGATCCCCCATATGGAGTCTGATGTCAGGCCCGGGCTGCCTGCTCTACCTGGGCCATCTTATTCCCCCCTTGTGACTGTGTGGCCTGACCCCTGTCCACCAGTTGGCCCCAAAGGAGGCCACTCCATCAACCCTCCCTGAGTGAGCGAAAGTAAGGCTAAATTCAGTATGCACTTAGCCAGACTCCCTGGGTTCAAACCTCAGCTCTGCCACTTCCTGGCTGAGCAACCTGAGACAAATGACCTACCTTCTCTGTGCCTCTGTTTCTCTACCTGTAAAATGGGAATAGGAATAGCACCGACCTGCCAGGGGAGTGCGGAGGACTCAGGGAGTTACTGTGTGTGGTAGTGTCTGGCACGCAGGTATCACCCGTGACTACTCTGCCAGCCGTTGTTGAAACCTCCTGTGGCTTCCTACTATCCTTGGTGCAGAGCTGTGGCTTTGAGGCCTTGCCCAGCTTGGTGCTGCTAAGGGTTGGCTCCACCCCCTCCTGGTCCCTCTGTTGCCCCCTGGATCCCTAGACATGCCACTCTTCCTCTTATCTTAGGGCTTTCCCTTGTCAGTCTCTCTACCCGGAACTGGCATAGGTTCAAACATCGCCCTCTCCTAAAGTCCCTGCCCAGGTGAGGTGCCTCCTCTGGCACTTGCACCACCCAGGTGCTGAGGACTCCGTCCCATCCAGCAGGGGTCTCCAACCCCCAACCCCAGGGCCACGGACGATGGCCTGTTAGAAACAGGGTCTCATAGCAGGTGAGCGGTGGAGATGTTTCCAGTCACTCCCCAACGCTCGATTACTGCCTGAGCTCTGCCCCTGTCAGATCGGCGAGGCACCAGAGTCTCATAGGAGCGCCAACCCTATTGGCAACTGATGCAGGGGATCCAGACGGCGTGCTCAGAAACCATCTTCCCACGCCCCCGTTTGTGGAAAAATTATCTTCCACAAAACCAGTTCTTGGTGCCAAACAGGCTGGAGACCACTGCTGCTCCCTCTGTGTCTGTGGAGCTGTCCGACCTGCTGACTGGGCCATGAAGCCCACAGGACAAGTGGTGGCCTGCTCCCTGCAGTATCTGCAGAGCCTCCAAGAGGCTGGCCCCTTGGAGCACTAAGCAAAGGTGGTCGAATAAATGAATGAAGAAATGGCCGAACAAAGTCCTGGTACCGAGAGCCCATCTGTGTTCACTGGATGGTCAGGCCTGGGGCTCACCAGTGGGTTGGAAAGGTGTCTGGGTGCCCCACGCCCAGAGCCAGGCCCAGGGTGAGCCTGGAGCCTGGTCTGGTGCTATGAACATCCCAGATCGCAGAGCTGGGCAGGTGTGAGGACCAGAGGTGGCCTCAGCAGGTGGCCATGCTCCGAGGGTGCACACCCATCAGCGTTGGCCCCCAGTGGCTGGGCTCCACTTACCCGGCGTCCCTTTGCTCCCCTCATGCCTGGTGCACCTCGAGATCCTGGAGGACCCTGTGGGGAGGAGAAAGAGTTTAGAAAAGCCCTTTCTAGGGGGTGAGAGTCACACTGGGGCCAGGAGCACAGGGGCAGAGCTTGAAGGCTCCTCAGTCCCCCAGCCAGGTGCTGCCCGGCCCCAGCAGCCTCTGTCGAAGGACTGTGCAGCCACCCGCTGGGTGGGAGACACATCTGACAAGCCCTGGGCTCCACCTGGGAATCCAGGTAATGGGACAAGTCTCCCTGGGTCAGACTTTACCTAAAGGTCAGGTTCTTTACCTCAAAATCAGCAAGAAGCTATGATGACATTTCTGACGAAATGTCTCCCCCAATTCTCATTACCTTTTATTATTATGATCATTTTTAAAGAATTGTTTTTGATTAAAGTTTATTCATTCCTTTCTTTTAATTTGAACAGAGAAAGACAGAGAGAGAGAGAAGTGAGAAAGCAAGCCGCCAGGTCCAG